AATATGCAACCACTAGAGGACAGCAAATAATCAAGTTTTGCAGCTTAGACACAATGATCCCTTATGTATATCCAGCTAACTGGTATCCAGGTTGGGCAGACCCATCCAATAATTCATGAATCAGCAGACTGCTGTGTGACACTGCTCTCTGCCCAAGGGTGTGTGTGAGAGAGAGAGAGGTGGAGGAGAAGCTGTTAGTACAATTGCAACCCATGCACTAAATGTTGGCTTCTCCCTTTCAAAAAGGAAGTGTTGTAGCTCATGAAGCTAATTTGGGACATTTTTTTTTCAATTCACCAGGTGAAGTAGAAGAGAGTTGTTGCAAGCATGCTAAAATTATGTCTGTGTCCTTTCCAGACTGATTGATGTTTTATATACGCTTGTCATGAGAGGGAGCAAAGAGGATGGCCCTTGTTGAAGGACACCATCACAACATCTTGGGCACAGAAGGTGGATCTGGCCTTGGTTTTGCTGTTTGCTCTACAGCTGCCAAGCTCTGCCTTGAGGTTTGATTAGCTGCATTACCTGAGCTGCACAGGGGCTGATTCCATTTACAGGACTCAGGTCATGTCTTTGTTTTAAAGCTAAAGCATTTATATGCCACTCTTCCTAACAGTTCTCAAAGCACATTAATCATAAATAAAAATCATAATATGGTCACTGATTATATTGTGTCATCTATATATTCAATAATACACACATTAAAATGTCTAGAAGGAATAAAAAACTCCACTATATTTAGAAAAAGGTAAGAATGGAATCCTTCCTGTGAAAATCTTCTCCTCTGAGCAAAACTCAAGAGAATTTGGCAGGGTGTTTTTCTCAACAGGCGCTATTACTGATAAATTTTAAAAATTCTGCTGAATAAATGTGCAGGCTGCAGCAGTTGTTTCTTCTTATTCTTCATATCCAAGACTGATAGTTATCCTTCCAGGCCAATTCTGAATTCCACATCAGGCCCTCAAACCTCTTGGGTAGTTTTAGTACATGTACACATACACACCAACAGGTGTTCATCTGGGATGGGAAGACAGTCAAATAGGTAAAATGTTTGGTACTTCATATCTCTAATTGGATTTAGATTTCCTCCAAAACTGTGAGCAGTAATCCAGCTTGATTAGTGCCCCAACTCACCCAGGCCTGTGCAGGGGTCCCTTACACTTCCCCTCCTTCTCCTGGGCCATCAGCATCTCTGACTGTTCTTACACGGGACCATCTGCACATCTGCACTGCGCTCCATCCATTTATGCTGTGCAATGCATAAAATATGTGGCAGAAATCTGTTTCCATAGTGTAATGATCATTGGTATGTTTGCAACCAAATACAACTGAAACCAGATCAGCAAGCTAAGGCAACAGAAACATTCAAGAGAAATTCCTGGGCCACCCAGAGAATCCAAAGCACGTGGCTGGCCAGCCTTGGCAGACCCAACTCAAGTCAAAGGCTGACTGTTTCAGATGCCTTCAAGATCAGGGAGATGCCAAGCTGCAGACAGAACATTTCATGGAGTTGCTAACTTTTGTTCTTTCACATTTTCAGGCTGCCTATTGATGAAGATGCAGCCAGCCACCTTCTACAGGAGCCCTCAGTGTTGCCCTCTGTGTATTTGACAAGCTGAGTTCGACACTCAGTGTGGCAGTGTCAGTTTGTCAAATATACAAAGTGCGGCATTTGTCCAGCAACGGAGCAGCAGATCTTCCAGAACTCAAGTTGCAGGGATATCGGAGGATGCAAAAAGCAAATGGCAAAATTTTGTATTTTTTCCAAGACTTAGGTACTGGTTCTCCCCATTCAGCATCTTTAGAGATGGCATCAACTCCAAGGATAGATCAATATATCCTGTATATATATGTATTTGGTGGTGTCAGCTCTTCAGAGTAGACCAGGCTAGAAACCAGTCATGCGGGCTAATGTTGCTTTTATTATATGGCGCTAATGACAGAATCTTGTAAGTCTTAACAGGCTCCCTCCCTCTCTCTATCTTTGTGAGAACCAGGGAGGTGTTGTCTAAAATGCTTTCTCAGGTTACAGTTCTGGTCCTGATTCAGATTTATTTTATCTCACTATTATCTTGATAGGGGTCTTCCCCCTCTTCCTCAAGGCTATTCCTTCTGTCCATTGCAGGTGAATGCTTTAAAAATTATTGCTTTGGGCCTTATGCAAAGACTCTCTGTTGTTTATTAAAACAGCCTTTTTCCAGTCATCTTCTTGGCCCTGAAGAAAAGATACTGCTGCTTTAAGGAATCTACTTGTGTTGATGTAAAGTTAATAAAACTCTTAAAGGAGCTGCAGCTCTTTTCAGGCTCTTGTGTACAGGCTTTGGATAATGAATTATTTCAGTTCGATCTGTGCAGACACATTTCCAAAAGTGTTTGTGTGTGTAACTAATCAGGGAACATTAATGAATAGCAAAGAGGTGTTGTGTTGAGCCCCACAAATCACTTGGACTCTTTGCTCTCTGCATCTACTTTTGCACCTTGAATGTGGAACCCTCCACGAGTCTCCACTAGAAGAACATAAGTATTAACTTGAGGCTCTTTTCAGCCTCTGTTTACACATATTTCAGCAATTGATTTTTAATTATTTGCTTTCGTCCATGTTATCTGAAAATAATGGACTGAAATTAAAATCATTGTGATTTTATGATCATCAGCTGGGTGATCATTGAAAACCATTTGTAGGTATGATACTATTTTTGTTGTTGTTTTGCAAGTGTGGATAATAGAAATAAATGCCGCCTTCACTCCCACACCAGAAGTCTTCTATTTGCCACAAAGGCAGAGGATGGACATGTAAAGGTGGCTAGTTGGTATGTAAGGTCCCAGTTCCTTACATGAACTTGAGATATCATATCAATCTAATCAGATAACCCAAGCGGAGACCTTGATCAAGCAGCACTTTATTTGATCAAATTAAGCAGCTGGGTGGCCAATAATTTGGAACGCTGGCAGAGTTATGTCCAGAAGTGCCACACCTTAGAAAGTTGGTAGCATTGCTTTATAAACTTTGTTAGCCAATGAAAATCAGACAACAGAGCCATTACATCATAAAGAAGACATCAATCATTCCTGTACACTCCCTTATTCCCTCCTTCATTACATCCCATCCATGTACATGATTCTCAAGCGTGCATGAGATTTCCCTGGTGCAAAAGCTGATTACAAAAAGCAAGAAAGCAACAGTTAGATTATACAATTTCCCTTTGTTCCAGAATCCTTCAGGTAAATAGTTATTTACCAAACATGCCAACCTTTGAATCATGGAGCTATGAGAATAAGACTGTACGTAAAGAAATAACACATTTATACAGAAACCAAGCAAATCCTTTTGAAAGTATTTAAGCAAGAATAAAAGAAAAGAGGAGCAAGTGATAATACTATGAATATTTGTCTTATGTATGTATGCATGCATGCATGCATGTATGTATCGTACAGCAATGTTACCTTAGCCAGGAGTCTACAATGCTAACACAGAGAAAGCCTGCCAGCCGGTTCTGTTCGGACTTGGATGGGGGCCCCACAGGGGCCGAGCTGGCTTCTCCCCAGCAGAGCATATAAGGAAGTAGAAGGTGGTCTTCCTGCATGAGAAGATCAGTCTTTCAAAGAGACAGTAGTGATAATGGGAGATTTAAATTATCCTGATACCTTCTGGGTACCTCTTTGCCAAGAGGTATTTAAGGGTTTTTTAAATCCTGCCTTTGTTTTTATAAATAAGTCAAGGTGGCAAAAGTACTCCTTCCTCCTCCTATTTTCCCTACAACAACAACCCTGTGAGGTGGATTGGGCTGAGAGAGAGTGGTTGGCCCAAAGTCACCCAGCAGGCTTTGGTGCCTAAGGTGGGACTCAAACTCGGAGTCTCCTGTTTATTAGCCCATCCAGTCGGCTTTCATGCCTAAAGCAGGACTAGAACTCAATGTCTCCTGGTTTCTAACCTGGCCAAGACCTGGTCTAACCAGATCAAAGCTGCTCTCTCCCTTGTCTTCCTTCTTTTCAGAAGTGAAAGAAAGAAGAAGGGAGTCTGCTACTGTACTTGTAAACTTCACAATAGGGAGGGATCAGTTGCAAGTAACTGGTACCTTGGGGAGCTTTATGAACTCCAAGGGAAGGGAGGTTGGATCCAGTGGTTTCAGATCCTGAAGAGGGAAAATATCCAGGAAGGATGGGAAATTCCGCAAAAGGAGGTACTGAAGCTACAATCACTAACAATCTCTACAAGAAGAAAAAACAGGAGAAATCAAAAGAGAATGGAGTAGAGCAGTGATGGAAAACCTTTTAGAGACCGAGTGCCCAAACTGCAACCCAAAACCCACTTATGTATTGTCGGGTGCCGGGTGGGCGTGGCCCATTGGTGGGCGTGGCTGCGGTGGTAATGGCAGAATGGGTGGGATTAAAAAGTTCAATCAATCAATTCCAACTTTGCGAGATCTTTTTTTTTTCCGCGAAAAGTTGAAATTGACTGATTGAACCTTTTTTTTTTTTTGCACACAGTGGCGGAGGCCTAAAGTGAAAAGGTTTTATAAAACCCAGCTGAAGGCTAGGACTGAGGCGATGGTGCGTGTGCACAGAGAGAGGGCTCTGCGTGCCACATAGGTTCGCCACCACGGAAGTATGGCGAAGACAGTACACAGTACCCACAAATGCTGAGGAGAAAAGGGGACAGCATCACCATCAGATGCATTTGTAAGTGGCTGATAAACTGTACTTAGCCATGTGGTCCTACATGGAGGGAAGTGAGCAGTGGTGTACCCCAAGGTTTAGGCTCAGGACTCTTCAATATCTTCGTAAATGACTTAGATGAGGAAATAGAAGGGGAACTCGTCAAATTTGCAGACGTCAGTCTGAAGATCCAGATTGATCTTGACAAAATTGAACAAGGGGCCCTATCCAATACTCGGCCCTGGCTACACTGGTGGAGCCTCCCTATGGAAAGGGGTATGGGCTTTGGCAGCATCCCCTTCCCTTTGCTCTTTAAGCATAAAGAAAGAGGAAGCAAAAGTTTCACAATGTTTGCTTTACTTACATATATGATTTTAATATCTATTAAAATCAGGGCAATGTCAGAGAGTGAAATTGCAACTCCCTCACTTTACCATATTTCCACCAGAGCCTGTTTCTCTGTTTCTCTCTCCAGGGAGCCAAAGAGACTGAAAACACTTTGCACATGTTTGTATTTTCATATCAACTGAAAAACAATTTCTTAACATTGCCATATGTAATAAAAACTCCTGCTACATGATTTAAGTCAGAATCCAAGCAAAAGGATCCCATGAAGACAGAGGCCTCTTCTAAAAGCCACACAGGACAACACATGTCATTTGTGCAGGGAGATAATGTTACTTCCCAACCCATGGATGCCCTAAAAATCCAAAGGTGTCCAAATATCGTTACCAAATTGTAAGTATTAATGAGTTGGAAGGGGCAATATTAAATATGTGACTGGATAACAAACCTATTAAACATAATGTTTAAAGAATTTATTTGGTCCAATTTTCTGAGCTGGGTCACAAATAAACATATACAATAAACACAAATGGGCAGCTGCCAGGGGTAGAGTTTATTCATTCAACCATGTACAATGGTTGAAGGTAGCCAACAACATTAAGAGCTGTACTACTATTATAACAAGTGGGCTTTGATGTTTAGATACACAGATTTAGGTTCCTGCCCTAGGCTGTGATTGTGATTGCCCTGAGAATGTGTTAAGTCCGAGAAGGTAAATCCTTCTTGGGTGTGGATTATTATGAGAGGGTCATAATCCAGAAGTTTGATGGAGCCACTAAGTCTAAGTGTTAGGATTGTATGTTTATTCAGTGGACTGAGGTTGCTAAAGGGAAATGGGGGGGGGGGAATGAAAGGCTTTTAACTTTCAATGTTTTTTCTATGTTCTTTTTCTATTTAAATTCTAACAATATTAATATTGAAAGTAGATGAAATGGGATCACATGAAGCTTTTGCTTTGGCCTCACCCACCATCCCCAAAAAGCAAGTCCAAAGAAGCCTTCAGCCCTGCTCACTTGGGAGAGAACTGTTCACTAACATTTCACACCTAGGATTCACGCCAGGGAATCTCATGTCCTTTAGAAACAAAGCTGTTCCCTCTTGGTCAACACAGAGCTTTTTCAAACATCTTGCAATCTTCTTGGTTATCATGGAGGTCTGCTCAAAGGGAGCAGAACAAGAGCACAGCTGACTTGCTTTCTCCAACTCTGCAAAGAGAAACCCATTAAATGTGGAGACTTTATCATTCTTCTCTAAGAGCATTGGCAGGAGGGCAGTGAATCCAGCAAAGGAGAAAGCTCTTCCTGAAGGGCATCAGCACAACCACACAAGCTCCTTCCTAGGTGATTGCCAAGTCAACAACACACAAGAGTCTGTGCCTGACTAATTGGAAGACTGGGACATCCATAGGGAGTAGCAGCTTTAAAAAATCCGAAAGAGGGGCTTCAGCTAGACAATTGAAGCCCTGCCCCCTTTTTTATGGATATCCAGCGGTGTGAGGCTTTGATCACAACACCTCTATTAAAGGGGCAGGGTTTGATTGTGCAGCGGAAGCCTCAACTTCACTCCTTTAACACAGAGAGACACAAAAACCCCATGATCATCCCTGTTCATTGTGTTTATCAAGTGCTCAGTGGTTGCTACCAACTTTCACCTTATCAAATCCCAAATCCTAAGAGACTCTGCTTCATTCAATACCAACACTCTGGAATCCAACTTCATATTAATCCGAAAGGGGCCTACATGTTCTTCCCTTCTGTAGAGCAGTGTTTATTTTATCAAATTTCTATACCAGCTATCTCACATAAATGATTTTGGCAGTTTACAAACAATATGCTGGCTGAGGAATTCTGTGAGTTGAGATCCATTCATCTACAGAATTCTGCCAAAGAATTCTTTCCTCTTAGTCAATATTAGATTATTTTGCTTTAAAATAGGCCAATGAATAAAAACAAGCCTAGGAAAATATTTGAATGAAGGACAGAAAAAGCTGCAGTATTTGTCTGCCAATTAGAAAAGGGGGGAAAAGAAACCTAATTTCAACCTAATTATTGCTAATTTAAGCAATAACCCCAAAGCTACCATTTCCTGATGTTTTGCACTGTGATTCATTGGTTCAAAATGTTTATAATGTTTATATTAGGACAAATGTGCTTTTGATCAGATGGAGGAGTACAGATAGTGTATTCTAGGCAAACTGCAAACAAAAAATTCAAATAAATGCACATTTTAGTGTCAACATTTTTTAGTCCAAAGAACTCCCGTTCAACAAACCAAACCTGCCAAATTTGCAAGGAGAAACAGAGAAAGCAGAGTCACCAAATGAGGGGAGGGTGAATCGACGTTTTGCCCAGCCCTGCATCAGCTTCTCTTGGGCAGGGAGAAAAGTCTAAGCATCCGCTACTGGGCGGGTGGAGTTGCTAGGCTGAAAGAAGCCCATTTGGAGGTCCATACAGGAGAACCCCCAGTTGGGAGGAGGAGGATCCTGTTCAGATAAGGCAAGTTGATATGTGTTCATGTGGAGGGGCCAAGATGAATGTCCTTCAAAACTCAGCTCTTGAAGATGTAGCAAGATCTATTCTTTCCTGTTACTAGTTGGCCATCAGTTCCCCAACTGCTTCTCAGCTACAAGGATCTCATATTCATTGTCCATCTTTTCACCCATTACCACGTACTCAGCAGCTTTGGTCGGCTCCATAGTGTAATTGTTATCAAAACTTGAATTCGGTTCCTCATACACGCAAGTACTGTTGACCCCTGGACTGGCTGGGATGTCTTCATTGCCCAGGGTGAGGGCATTATTGTTGCTGAATTAGACAGAAGATGGTGAAATTAGGCACGCAAGACAGGGTGTTCCACTTACCCAGGAAATGCAAGCCTGGTGAAAGATGCCGTTGCACAACACAATTTTTGTAGGGCTGACTCAGAAAGATTCCCATTTGCTGCCTCTGCAATTAGCCTGCCTGCCTCAATTATCAGCTGCCTTGCAGAGAACATGATCTATTTTGAGACCCGCAGTTCTGCTTTTAAAAAGAACAAAGGGTAACTTAGTGACATTTGTCCAGCACAAACCACCCTGATCCCACTTGCCTTCTGCTCTTTCTCTCAAAAACATGCACCCACCCACCCACGCACGCACGCACACACGCACAGAGAGAGAGAGAGAGAGAGAGAGAGAGAGAGAGAAAAGAATAAGAAGCTTGTATGGGGGAAATAAGAAATGTATATGTAGGGAGATACGGTTTTCTCAAATCACTCTCAGCCCCCATAACGATGGGTGACAATCTAGCTGCATTTACTATGTAACAAGAGGTGGACTGTTGTGATCTAAAGTAAAAGCTGAATGTGGAGACACTGATTTTAGGGTATAGTCCCAGATCTGGTGCAATGGTCAAATCTTATGGCAAACTAAATTATGGGTTGAAATCATCCAGCCTTTTGAAAAAGAAAAAGAAAACTGGTGAAATGCAATTTTTAAAATCTTGCATAGCCTGCAACAAAACCATTAACTGGATTCATGCAACACAATTCAGCAAGATCAACTTAATCTCTTTGCTGGTTTGAACAATATAAGTGATCCCATTCACTAGCCACACAGGCAGGGCTCACACCACATATTAAGGCATGCATAAATGCACACATGTACAAACACATACATGTACAAACACACAAACCAATTCAGCTTTTGGACAAAGTGGAAACTGCACATTGTGAGCATTTAGCTGACCTGGGTTAAGGGTGTTAACACAGCCATAGTGGGACATCAACCTACTACTCGATAAGATAGAAAAATGTGGGTTAGACAGCATCACCACCAGATGGATTCGTAGCTGGCTGACTGGCCGTACTCAGCATGTGGTCCTTAATGGAACTGCATCTACATGGAGTGAAGTGTGTAGTGGGGTGCCCCAGGGCTCTGTTCTAGGCCCAGTGCTCTTCAACATCTTCATCAATGATTTGGACGAGGGATAGATGGGGAACTCATCAAATTTGCAGACGACATCAACCTGGCAGGAATAGCCAACACTCCAGAAGACAGGCTTAGGATACAGGAGGACCTGGACAGGCTTGAACACTGGGCGCTATCTAACAAAATGAAATTCAATGGTGAAAAAAGTAAGGTTCTACATTTAGGCAAGAAAAACCAAATGTACAGGTATAGTATAGGGGGTACCTTGCTCAATAGTAGTAACTGTGAGAGGGACCTCGGAGTCCTAGTGGACAATCACTTCAATATGAGCCAGCAGTGTGCTGCAGCTGCCAAAAAAGCCAACACAGTGCTAGGCTGCATTAACAGAGGGATAGAATCAAGATCACGTGAAGTATTAATACCACTTTATAATGCCTTAGTAAGGCCACACTTGGAATACTGCATCCAGTTTTGGTCACCACGATGTAAAAAAGATGTTGAGACTCTAGAAAGAGTACAGAGAAGAGCAACAAAGATGATTAGGGAACTGGAGGCTAAAACATATAAGGAACTGTTGCTGGAATTGGGTATGTCTAGTTTAACGAAGAGAAGGACGAAGGGGGACATGATAGCAGTGTTCCAATATCTCAGGGGCTGCCACAAAGAAGAGGGAGTCAAGCTACTCTCCAAGGCGCCTGAAGGCAGGACAAGAAGCAATGGGTGGAAGCTGATCAAGGAGAGAAGCAACTTAGAACTAAGGAGAAACTTCCTGACAGTTAGAACAATTAACCAGTGGAACAACCTGCCTCCAGAAGCGGTGAATGCTCCAACACTGGAAGTTTTTAAGAAGAGACTGGACAGCCATTTGTCTGAAATGGTGTAGGGTTCCTGCCTGAACAGGGGGTTGGACTCGATGACCTCCAAGGTCCCTTCCAACTTTATTATTATTATTATTATTATTATTATTATTATTATTATTATTATTATTATTATTATTATTATTATTATTATTATTATTATTATTATTATTATTATTATTATTATTACATCAACCCAAGAAAGCTCAGGAAGCCTCTTTTAAGAGCTCTGGGCCCATCCTGGAGGAGCAGAAAAGTCCACCAACAGAAAGTCCTGCCTTGCTTGCTTGCTTTCCTATTTCTTCACTGCCCGTCTCCTCAGAAATGGCTCAGTTAAGAATAACATAAGCCTCCTCTTTTACTTGGACACCAGAGGTTAAATGAAGGCAAGAACATAGGGGCATAACAGAATAAATAAATAAATAAATAAGTCGGGGGGAAGGGATTGATTATGCTGTGGTTCACTGCAAGTATGGATGCAGCATCTAGCACAGTGTGTCCCAACCTCAGTCACTTTAAGAGGTGTGGACCAATTGCCAGAATTTATCAGCCAGCATGCTGAGAAAGCCACACCAGTTAAAGTGACTGAGACACTTGAGGCACACTGCTGGCCTTACGGTCACTTGAGGCAAGCCTACCATGTCTTCTGCAAAAGTAGCAATAAGAGACAACTGCATCTTCCAATGATCTCTTGCATAGAAGGATGAAATCTGTGACTCTTTGGTTATTGCTGAATGGCAGTGCCACGTGCCCCACCCAGGACATGCTGGTGGGATCGTGCTAGAAAACACCCTCAGCTCTTTTAGCACTAATATCACTGTGGCTGTCATTGTGGCTGTGTTGCACAACATTCTTAACCCAGGTCAACTAAATCCCATAATGTGCAATTTCCACATTGTGCAAAAGGTTGACTGGTTTTAATTTTTTTTTCTCTTTGTTCTTTAATGTGTTGTATGAACTCTAAGTGTTTAATTGGGACAGGGTTTCACTTGCAATTCAGGAAGGTAGTATTATTTTTCCAGGCATTCAAGTGGCTTCTTCTATGCATTTCCTTTCTTCACCTGAAATGGGAACTGCAGGCTCAGCCTTTTTTCACCAAGTCAGTTATTTACACTCAGCTCCCCAGAGTATACCCGGTCAACACACTTCACTATTGCAATCCCAGGATGAGATGATTACTTACTATGTTACTTCATACATATTATCTGAAAAAGAAACAGCATTTTAATGACTTTTTATTTTGAGAAAACAAAGTTACCATTAAATTAAAATGCAAGTACAAAACTGTAAAAAAGAAAAAAAGAAGGTAAGATGGAATGAAATAGAACAGAACAAAACAAATTAAAACAACTGGATAATTGGAGATCAGGATGGACAATTTCTATGGCAACTCTTATCGTGTCCTGTTTTGAATTGATCAAAGCCCAGCAGTCTCTTAAAGTTGTCCTGGATAGCAGAGTGTTGGTGCTGTGCTTGTGTTTATTAACATTATATTGTGGTCAGATGGACTAGGGGCGACATGATAGCAGTGTTCCAATATTTGAGGGGCTGCTACAAAGAAGAGGGTGTCAACTTATTCTCCAAAGCACCAGAAGGCAAGACAAAAAACAGTGGATGGGAACTAACCAAGGAGAACTAGAACCTAGAACTAAGGAGAAATTTTGTAATGGTGAGAGCAATCATCTAATGGAACAGCTTGCCTTCAGAAGTTGAGGATGCTCCATCACTGAAGGCTTTCAAGAAGAGACTGGACAGCCATTTGTCTGGAATAATATAGGGTCTCCAGCTTGAGCAGGGGGTTGGACTAGAAGACCTTCAAGGTCCCTTCCAACTCTGTTATTCTATGTTCTGTGTTCTGATATTTCACTTGGCATGCTTGAAATGTTCACTCACATGATTACAAGCCAGTTTTCACCCACCACCACACATATTTGAAATCTTGCACAAGATTTCTACTTTTGAGATTTCCTCTTTAGAATTCAGAATTTGTGATCTTGAATTTAGTCTATAAGTGCTACTCTGGGCTGTCCAAAGATTCACTATGAGCAATTTGTTCCTAATTTGCTCCACACTTCTGATTCCTGAAATCCAAGTTATTTTACTATTGTCCCCGATCCCCAATCTGAGGAAATGAGCGCCCACAACTCACCACTCTTAGTTCTCCTTCTGCAAAAGACCACAGAGATGACCATAAGGGTAAAAGCTGCAGAGAGCACAGCAATCAGGATGATGAGATACAGTGGCAGAGCCTTCTTCTGAGAACCGGGAGCTGGAGTGAAACAGCAGAAATGGAGATTTCCATCAATTTTCCCATGACCTGAAGGTCATGGGAATCCTATGGGATTTTCCCATGTATTTTACCAGGAAACATAGATAGGGCAAGCTGGAAAAGTCAGTGCCCTCCTAACCATACGCAAGCACTCCGAGTTTGTTGGCGATGTCCATTTTGCCGTATGAGTTCATGGTGACCTAACCCTAACCCTAAGTGAAATTTTCCTCCAATGGGATTTTCCCATGTATTTTACCAGGAAACATAGATAGGGCAGGCTGGAAAAGTCAGTGCCCTCCTAACCATACGCAAGCACTCCGAGTTTGTTGGCGATGTCCATTTTGCTCTATGAGTTCATGGTGACCTATGAGTTCATGGTCTTTTTAAGATAATTGATGCAAACCAACAAGACCTGTTGCCCAGCTGATGTCTACTGGATAGCTTTTGATTGGCCATTTGACTTGCAGTATCAGATATGCTTTGGAAATTATTAATAATAACAGGGTCCTGCACTGCAACAGCCTGAGGGTTTTGAGGCCTCTCCAGCAGCCTTGATGTGGCCTCTTTGCAACTCAGAGTAACAACTGAAGAAGAGAAAAGAAGCTATTTCATGGGCACTTGGTAATCAGAAAAGCAGCTGAATGAGAATTGTCCACATCTGGAGGCCAGAAGGTTGGGGAAGACTGTTGAGAAAATGGACCAGTATCCTTTCTTGGACTGGTGATCATAGTATTTGGTTTGGTATCAAGGACCACACTGGGGTGTGCAATATGCACATGGTTGTTCAGGAACCATGGGTGAGCCAGAATGAAACATGCAGACTAGGTTCATACTTAATAAATTGACTTAATATATTGCCTCCTGAAACAATCAGCCAACTTCTGTCCATTCATGTTCTTCTCAGTCTTCTTCTTCCCTTCATTTTTTCCACTCAGGTTTGTTTTGCCATGCACTTCTCATCCATTCTCTTGCTAAGATCAAATCAAAGTTCATATTTGTTACTCACTTTTGTACTCAGGGCCTGATCATTCTTGATCCCATCTCTTCCTGTTTTACCACTTGAAGAAGCCCACTCCCAGGGCATCCAACTTACTTGTCTCCTGACCTAGCCAACCTTCACCTGCCTGTTGAACGCATCCAGACAGAAATCTTTGCTTCTTTAAGCAGATCTTCATTACAGGCTATGCATTTTCTACTGCATTTTGTGCATCTTAAAATTTTTCTGTCCATTTTTGTAAACATTCTATCACACAAAATTCATCTACTTGATTTGGTTTTTCATCATTTTCGTATCATAAAACTACCTTAATGGTATCAGTTAATGGTTAGATCCACAGTCCTTGCTGAATCATACAATCTATACCATATTTGCTGAAAATCATTTGGATTCTCAGCCAACAACATCACATTATCTGCACAAAAGTATGCATGTGTTCATATTCCCAACCAACACAACTCTAACGAAACCAGAAATGCTAGTTTAAATTTTATCCCTAAATAAAAAATCATCCCTCTTTTCCTTTGAGATTTATAAATGCAGCATGTAATGATATAGATCTATTTGATACATATTTTTCAATCAAATGATGGATGGAGAACTAAGCACTGATCTATGGTGCCTCTCCCCTCTCTAAACCTAGCTTGCTCTTCAGCAATCAAGTTCTCAAGATCCAGCCACTCCTTTAATTTATCTTGGAGATGTTTGACATACAGTTTGCTGATTATATTTAGCAGACTTATTGGTCTGTAATTGGCAGGGTCGTCTCTCTTTCCCTTTTTATAAATTGGGACCACAATTGCTAAGCCCCAATCCTCTGGGACATGGCCAGAGGAGTCTATATAAGTGAATAGCACTGCCAGGACTGGTATCCACCACTTCATATTGTTCTTTGGTAGTTCAGCAGAAATGAAGTCAGCTCCTGGAGCCTTTCAGGTCCTGAGTTGGCCAATGAGAGATTTAATTTCAGACTCTGAAACTGGAGGCCTCTCAGGTAAATCCTTCATTGTATACCTTATTCTCTCACTGGAGAGGTCTCATACATTCTCCAAAAGTGGAGTTCCCAGGTTGTAGGAGGTATATGGGAGTCTAATGGGGTATAGATTCTTTCAGAGTGGCAAGCTATTAGAGGCTTAAGAATAAAGAATAAAGAAGAGTTCTTTTGTTTTCCTGCCTCAATAAACTGTTCCCAGGAAGACATTGTGTCTTGTCTCTTCTTGAGTGCAATCAACTGCTTAAATTGTTTTTTGAGTGTGAGTTGATGTTTAAGAGTTGTTTTATTGCCATTTCCAGTCTTACTTTTGTACACCTTATATGCCAAGGTAAGAGCTTTTTTGGCTTCTACACAATCCTTATCAAACCATGGTTTGGAGGCAATGCAGGGCCTCTTAGCTGAGAGGTTTTGGTCATGTGCTAGTAGTGGTTGTAGCTCATGAACTAGGTTTTTATATAGTTCTAATAAATCTTGAGTAGGGTTGGCTGATACAAAGGCTGAGTGGATTTTTTGAAAGTTGTCCTCTGATAGGGCTCCCCTTATCTTCTGGTCAAGTTGTTGGGTCCATTTGACCCATCATCTTGTTAGGCCTGCTGTAGAAATTGCAGGAATAAAACAGTCCTCGGAGGGCATCTGCTAGATAAAGGGCTTCATGTGTATACACAGTGGTAGATGATCACTTTCTAGATAAGGTAGAACTTCAAAAATTTCTATGTAATGTAGTAAGTCCATAGAAGTTAGGATATACCGTAATCAATGGTGCTAGTTTTGGTCCCTGCCATAAATATAAACTCTCCAGGATAGCCGCCAGCCCATGAGCCACTGAATATGAAAAAGTTAAATTTATTTGTCATCTTTACAAGACAGAGGCCTGCATAGTTAGCACTAATGTCTTTAGAGAGTCGTGTGAGGGAGGTGTTTCCATCCTGTTGCATTTGGCAACCAACCTGCAACTCCCTTTTTATGCAAAACATTTCTTAATTCAAGACAATCCACTAACAACACGTACTTCAGGAGTTGTACAATAAGGTTTCTTTCTTATATTCACAAATATCTCAGGGTCACAGAGCAAAAGCTGTATTTCCCTCCCGAAACTCTGACTTCTTCGCCTTTTTCAGAATTGGCTAAACACCTTCTCAGGCACAACTGAACAAACCAGGGAGTGTACAACAGGTAAAGCTGGCAGAGCTTCCATTACACTGTCTTGACTTTTTGATTGCATTCTGCAGATACTCCTACAACACACTAACTCCCTGAAGTGTTTGCATTCATTCTTGCCATCCCTCCTTTTGTGTAGGAGAACAATAACAACTTGGAAGAATTATCAGATTCTTTGTACCATAAAATCTGCATTTTACTCATAGTCCTAGCATTTCTCATTACCTATGTTCACCATTGCCCAGAGCTTTTTTAAAAGTGAAAATAAATAGTCAGAGGTCTATTGGTTGTATTTTTGTAAAAAAACACATCCTTTTTCTCTTGCGTAGGAGATTTCAAAGATGGCAAAATTGTGATATCAAAATGGTCAATTCCAGGGGTATCTGCAGAGAGGATTAAAACCTGCGTCAAGATTGAAGCCCAATCCTTGTGTGTCACATCCCCATACAAACATCAGGTTTCAATTCCTGCACAGCGCTGCATCCATCTTGCAGGTTTTGACATTGCCTTGCAAACTCTCCTGGCAGTTCTAATTAATTTTTTAAAATGATACTAGGTGTTGTGTTCTTTGTATTCCCCCCCCCTTAATCCCCTATGCATATCCTGATCACCCATTAAGGGTGATTGCCCTTCACCATTGATCGCCCATTAAGGGTGATTGCCCTTCACCATTGATCGCCCATTAAGGGTGATTGCCCTTCTCCATCTGCATACAGTTTCATGCCCGTTGCTGGTTGGCTAACTAGCAACA